TTGCTGGAGTGGAGCTATCTCTGATCTCAGCTGGAGCAGGCAGGTGACTGCAGTTGTGTTGTCACATCAAGTGCCACAGCAACACAAGCTGTCCCAGAGGACAGGGGGTAAAACCCATTGAATAAATCCGAGTTGTTTTAAAAAGCTCCCTTAAAGTAAGCACTAAATGCTCAGTGCACACCAGAGACAGAACTCAGTCCCAGTCCTGCAATACTCAGTTTTCAGCTCAGACCTGTAAACCATTATCATTTCCTCCCCTTTATTAAAGAAAATTAGCAAACTAGCAAACTAATAATCCTCTTCTACGAGGATCATTGTTTGCAGCAAACTTTAAGAGAGAAATAATCACAGTGCTTTTTCTGTGAACCAGCTTTATCTGCAGTAAGAGTAAGCTGGAGTTACAGGGATAACACTAAGAAGCAAAAACCAAATTCCTTTGCTATAAGGAGAATCTCATTACTTGAATGTTAAACTGCACCTAAAACTGGAGGGACAGTTCATTACAATACAATGAAATGAGTAATACTTTACATTTATGTAAAATCTTTTACCCAGCAACTGTAAAGTTCCTCATGAGCATTGACTAACAAATCACAACTATCCACCTAAATATACACCTTAGTTAGAATAAAGGTAGGAGCTAAATTTATTAAAGCAGATATTCACTGCACCCACCCTGAGATGCAAGGGCCTGATTTTTAATCAATATCCTCAGAGAAGCCCTAAAATACCCCTGTCATTCCAGATACTCACAAATCAAGAAGCCCTGATTACTGTTTCACTTGTGTGGGCAGAATGTACCCAAAATTAGCTCTGGAAGAGAAGGGACTGAATTCATGTCTTTGGACTGTCAGCTGTGAGCATCAACTTGACTTTGGTAGCAGGTTCTTATCCTACAAATATTAACTATGGGCTTAGCTTTCTTGCTACAAAGATTGGGCTGTGAACATAAAAGGATAACACTGAACAGTTTGCTTAGATTAGATTAAAATTGTCAGTGAAAACACTTCTATCCCACTTAGCTTCTGCTTTAGCACAAAATATAACCTGGGTGGGAGATATCAGGTCAAGCATTTACATTTTGTAGTAACCCATGTCTGCCTGGAAGAGAAAGAAAAACAACTTGTCCTTCACTTGACAGTTTTTGATTTGTGATCTGAACAAAGTTTATTTGAAACTAAAATAACCCCAAAACATGCACATAAAACCTCACAACATATAATTCCTACAGCCCTCCCTGTTCCTGTGTTAAACTGCTGCCAGGGATGCTTTTAGTCTTGCACAGGGGCTGCTGCCCATTTTGAGGCTTGTGGCAGCAGCTTTCCTTGTCTCAAAGAAAAGGGAGGAAAAAACGTGTAGATCCATCCCAGCTTGGAAACTCAGGCACTTCTGTGTCTCCAACATCCTGGGAGCACATCCTGGGAGCTTCCTACACCCAAGAGGTGTCCCGAGAGCTCTGTGTGTGCCTGACCCTGCACACAGCAGATGTGGCCATGCAAATCTGTGCACCCCAAAACCTGATGGATGTGCCTCTGTGTGTGCCCTGACACCGGGGGGTGCACACACATCCCAGCTCCCAAGGAAAGCACGGATACGTGTGCCCTGGCTCCCAAGAGGGGCACACACACAAGCAAGGTGTGTGTGTGCCTTTGTACGAAGGCAGGAAGATGTTGGGGTGCACAGTCCTGCACCCCAACACCGGGAAGACGTGGATGTTGGGCAGGGGTGCAGCAGCTCTGCATCCCGACGGGAGATGCTGCTGGGTGTGCACCCTGTTGCTCAGAGGAGCTGGGATATGGAGCAGCTACACAACCCAACTTCGGAGGGCTGTGGAGCACCCAGACACTTCAGCCCCAGGGGATACACGAGTGCAGGGCGGCTGAGCACCCCAAAACACGGAGGTACGGGACTGTGGGGTGCCTGTGCTCCCTGCTGTGTGCAGGGCAGGAGTGTCCAAGCAGGGGAAAGGGGTCGGTGCAGGGGAGGGATGGCAGTTCATGGGTGGGGTGGCAGTGCGGGGCTGAGCTGTCCGGGCAGGGGAGGGGTGTCCATGCAGGGCAGGGGGGGTCGGTGCACGGGTGAGGTGTCAGTGCCGGGTTGAAGTGTCCGTGCAGGGGTGAGGGATCCGTGCAGGGGAGGTGCAGGGATGAGGTGTCCGTGAAGGAGTGAGGTGTCCGTGCAGCAGAGGGGTGTCGGTGCATCCTGAACCCGTCCCCGGCGGGTCAGCGGCGCGGCTATCATCCCACCCAGCGGCGGACTCCGAAGAGGGAAGGAAGGGGCCGGCCTTGCGGCCCGTGACCTTGAGGGACACCCCGCCGAGCCGCACTCCCCGCCCCAGGCCCGGGGCGCCATTTCCAGCCGGGGAAGGGGAGAGGCGCGGGCGGCGGGGGGGGAAGCTCTGCGCGGGCCGCACCGGCTCCGCCGCCCAGACTCCCGCGGCGGCCCGTCCCGCCCGCTCGCCCCCTCGGGGCTCACCTGAGGGCCAGCCGCCGGCCGGGCGGCAGGCGCGGCACGGCGGCCGCTTCCCGCCAGGCTCCGCCGCAGCAGCACTCGCGCCGCCATCTTGCCTCAGGCCGCCTCCCTGCTGGGCCGGGGGCTGCGGCCACGCCCCCTGGCGGGGACCCGCCTGTGCGCATGCGCGGCTGCCCCGGCGCGGGGCCCCCCTTCACGGCCCCCCTCACCTTGGGGGACCCGCAACCCGGGATTAGGGGGATCCAGAGTCGTTCGGGGGGCACAGTCCCGCTTTGAGGGTCCCATCCTGGTTCGAGGGAGACCCAAACCTCCTCTTTTGGGGAATCCCAGGCCCCTGTTTAGGGGGGGATCCAGGGGGTATTTCCCAACCCCGTATTTAGGGGACCCCAGCCCCAGTTTGGGGGTTACTCCTCGTCCCGGTTTGCGGGTGACCCCTCTTTAGCGTCTCACCTCAAAACCACTAAGAGCAAGCCCAGGCGTTTTTTGAATCACGTGCAAAATCTTGTCCTTCATTCTCCTGCTATATTTTTCCCCACAGTGCAGTTGAAGGGTTTTCTTCACACTCTGTTCAGCCACAGTCAGGGATAATTAGGTTGAACGGGTGGTGTGTGATGGCATCCAACCTTTAAGTAACTTGAAATTAAGGATAAACTGATAACTAGACTAATAATTAAAGAACAGTTCTAAAAACAACCAGCCAATAAACATAGAAAAGTCAATGACTAATCCTTATCTTTCCACATAATACCTATAATATTTTTATCACATCACTGCACACTTTCCCCTGCCTTTTTATGATTTCACTATCAGCACTCTCGTGAGAGTAATCCCAAAGATAACATCTAAGATGTGCTTTAACATCACTAAAGTACAGTTGTTGTGCTGCCTCTTTAAAAGAGTTTAACCTACAGTTGCCATCACTATTAAATAACAGTTTGAAATGTTATTTGTTTTTAGTCACATTTTGAACTGACAGCATGTTGAGTTCTTGAGCAGCCCTCCCAGAGCCCACCTGTACACTGGAAAAGCAAAAACCTTCTGTGATGAATCAGTCTTAGAAAAAACGACTTAGAAAAAAAAGCTGTGGCATTTTCACAGCTACTTGAGAGAAATCGCAGGAAATAAAAGCATTTACTTCCCTAATTACATGTAAGTGCAACTACAACCAAGCAGGAAACTTTTCCTATTTCTTATAAATACTATGTCTAGTTATTAGAACACTCATATCCCCATGTACTGAGGGTCAAGTTCCTTTACTCCCTTCTTCCACACAACTTCAGTGTATTTTCTACAGCCCAGGGCCATGTTCTGCCCCAAGTCTGATTTCTCTCAATCTCTGCTTGGATAAAGTTTCACATTTTACATTCACTTGGACAGGAGTCAAAGCCCAGGTTTCCTTCCCTTGGCTGAGGGCCTCCATCAACCAGCTACAATTACTGAGTAATTTACATAAACCTAAACCTCTGCAACAAACATCAGTAAGAATAACCTACAGCCATCTGCTTAAGGCACCTCCTCAAACTCAGAGACCATGGCCATATTATTTTACACAGGGATATTTAAATCAAGGTGTCTTCACATCCCATCCCACCGACCTGACACATAGGACAGCACGTGAGGACAAGCATCCAAAGAGCAGCAATTTTTTGGTTTGGAACATGGAAGGAATTTTAAGTTTCTCATTCTTCCTGTCCCAAATAATTTGCTGAGTAAAATCAGACTTTTTTCGTGGTTTGTGGGTAGCCAAAACTGATTTTGTGCAGGTGCAGGAAGCTAAAGGGCAAATGATTTACACAGTGGAAGAGAACATAACTGGTAGCTACTAGTGCAAGATGGCTCAGTTTCTTTAAGGAAATTAAATTATTTTAGGTCAGAAGAACTCTGTTCAGATATACCTTGTTTTGCTTCTGATCTTAAACAAAGGCCAATGACACAGGCAGACACTTCAAAAAACTTTCTCACAACTTTCATAACTCACATTCCTCTCCTACAACTGCTGGGTTTTGAGGCAGATGCTCCTTTAGATCCAAAGGAGAAGTCAGGAACACAAGGCTGCTGCAACAACTGCACGCTCTCAGCTTGCTGTTTGTCCTGGAAGGCAGGACACAACACCCCCAGAGCTGTATCAGGATAAAGTGGTCTTTTATCATTAACTGCTATGGCCTTCCAGCTCCATACTAAAGCATGCAGCAAATCAGCACCTGTATCTCCCCAAAATGTGTTGTTTTAATGAGCTTTTCTGATGGGACTAAATCTAACCATCTTTACTTTTACTTTTTTGGCTTTGTGTTCTCACCAGCTTCTCTGTCCTGCTGGCAGTTCAAAGAGAGCCAGCTCTCCCAGAACTAAATACTCCCTTTGGACAAGTTACCAAGCCAACCATTCTAAGCTGCCCAAAGGTTTTATTCTCACCTTACTGCCACTAGAAAAGCAAGGGGCTGTGTTTCTGTTAGAGATTTTGGAAGTCAGAAGGCACTGCAGTGTGGGATGAGTGACTGTAAGTGGAAATAAGGACACAAGCATGTAGCTGGTTTTAAAATTCTACACTTCCTTTCAAAAGCTTTAATAGCATTATCTCCAGTAATCCTACAAACCACAAAAGACTGTCTGAAACACAGAACAATCAAATAATAGAATGGCCCTCCCACCAAAATGAAACATTATACAGTTGTACTTTCTTTTCTCAAAACACAAGAGTCATTCCAGGAGGGCAGCTGGCTTTGGGAACTGTCACTGCTTGTGGCAAAACTATAGGCAATAAAATAAAGTGTTAACACTAAACTTGCATTTCCTCTATATTTTCACTCAAAGCTCTGGAGTGCTCATCAATCTGTGCCATCTCTTTGCATAAGCAACTACATTTACTATTTATTTTGACTACAGATTTCACTGAAACATTTAACATACCACAACAGGGCCTCAAACACCCCTGACAGAGGGAGACAAGCTGGAAGCCCTCTGCTTAAATATTTCGCCCCCTATTTGTCTGTTGAACAAACTTTCAGTTCCTGAAGTTTTTCACTTAGATAGGTAGTATCTGCCTCTGTCAGGTTTTCCGAATCTGACAGATTTTCCAGGAATCTGGTTCCTGCACAGGGCTTGCCCGTGATTGGATCTATGACATTTCCAACCTTGAACACAATTTCAGCCAGTTCGTGTTTCACGTGTTTGCTCCTTCGCTCGGGCAGAGCTTTCAGCAGAACAATGTCTCCAACAACACACTGCTGCAGTGGATCGTGGGCAAAATAGGTTTTTCTTTTGTTAAAGAACTGTAAAAGAAAAAAAAAAAAAAAGAGAAAAACCCTGGCATTAGATTTCAAAGTTTCTTGCTCAATTCATTTTCTTTCACGTAAAAATCTAATATTTGTTCTTATTGGTACAGCAGAATTCAGAATCTTTTGAGAAATAAATTAACAGGTTCTTCTGCTGGATAAAATATTGACATGGATTCCACAAGATCCATATCCAATCCTGACTATATCCTTAACCTTCTGCTCAAAGGCAAGTTATTCCACCTCCATGTACCACAGATTCCCCATATAAAAATTGAGAAAACATTATTTTAACATACTTGTTTGAAGTGCATTGACAAGAAATAAATACAAATTTGCATAGCACATCACAGCACAGATACAAACACTAAGCAATGTTACAATTATGCATACAGAAAACCAGCTATAAAACTTACTGTAAAAGTGACTAACATAATGTCAAGTTTCCAAGGCATACTCCACATCAACATGAAAAATTAAACCTAAGTGTGAAACAACAAAAACTTCACCTTCTCAGCTGAGATCAAATGAACTGCACTAACAAGGCACTTCAAAGAAATACATTTAGCAGATAATTTGTAAGTCCTCACCACACAGTGCTTTTCATCCTTTGCAGTCAACCCCACAGCCAAATCCTCATGCAAGTTTCTTAAGGAGTTTGCATTGCAGAGTCATCAAAAATTCTAACAGTCAAATGAACAGAACACTCCTCCACAAAACCCACAAGTTGTTAACCAGCTGCTGTTACCTTCAGTAAGTAGGGATCCAGCACAAGCCTTGTCACTCTCACTTTGGCAGTTTTCTGCATTTTGGTTCCTATTACTTTCCCTACTATCCATTTTGCATGGACAGCTCCACGTGGGACAGACATTGTTTAGTTATGGTCATCCAGTGCCTGGCAACAAGCAAGCAGAGAGGCTATTTTAACAAAATAAAAAACATCACCACTTCCTGATCAACACCAAAATTTCCCCATTTCAGACTGACAGCCTAATTAGGTAACTTTGTTGGAAAAGAGCAGATATAAACGGTTCCAAACTCCACATATTGCACCACCTCGGCCTTGTTTAACAATATAAGGGACACGAACTTGTCGTCATTAGCAGGGAAAGTTACTTCAGGACAGCAATAAAAACGGACATAACACCTTAAGGATGAGACCTTATCCCAAAGCCCACAAAATTCCTTTGAATCACACCAGTTCTCACACATGACAGAAACGTGGAAGTTATTAATGTAACTCACGCTCCAGCAGCTGTTTCAGCTGCAAACCTGTTCATCAGGTCCATGTGTGACCACAGTGCACCCAAACAGGGAGCCTGGAGCTTTTGTTCAGTCATTTGCTGCTGCTGTGTATCACTGGTAGCTGAGCTGATGAAACCTAAGAAAGGTAATGAGCTTCCCAAGCTAGAAGTGACATATCAAAGAGCTGCCTGACTTGTAGTACGTGTAATCACTTCCAAGGTAGTTCTTTCCTGCAAGTAATTATACTCCACTACCTTATTTTAATTAGGGAGAGCTTTCTGTGCTACTCTTGCAAGAATCAGAGGCAAAAATCAATAGGTAAACACAGGAAGACTTGAACGAACATTAACACTGACAAAGACCAGTGACCTTGTCCTCTCCCACTCAAATATATATTGTTGAGCACAAACAGCACCTGTGAGTCCTCCATCCACAAGTGGATCCTCTTACCACAGCTTTTAAGGTGCTTTATTCGATGTTGTAACACATCTAAAGAAGAGTTTAGGGGTATAGAGGCACACAAGGTGAAACCAAGCAGCGATACCTGGGGCAGCTCTTACCACCCCTGACTCCGCTGTGTGTCCACAGGGCTGGCGGGGGGGAGTTAGTGCGGGGCTCTCCCGTCCCCCAGGGCTAAACACCACAGTTAGGCACGTACAGCACGGGCAGCACCCACCGAGCACCGGGAGCTACCGGGACAAAAGAGGAAATTCAAGCAGACCGTGAGCTTTCAGCCCCCCCCGCCCCC